TTTATTTATTCTCGAACGATTGTTATAATTATCTTACGTTGAGCTGGCCAGTTTAAGCCTTTGAGTAAGGTAAGTAATTGTTTGCAATTATGTTGAAATTTGATTTACGCGGGAATTCATATTATACTATATTAATTGAATGATTACCACGGGGAGCGCTACAAATTCTCAAATTCATAAACGTCCTCGTTAACAATTATTGGACCTTAGATCATAATAAACTATAATATTATGGTATATGATCTAAGTATTGGACTTTAAATTTGTTTCGTTTTGAACATAATATAATAAGATTTCATTTTTATTATTATATAGTGATAACAGTAGTCATACAGATAACAGCTTAACAGCATGTCACATTATAATATGTAAATGCCGTATTAAGCCGTTAATTGTTATTATTTCATTTATATTGAATAGTTTATTAACTGTTTGTTACGTTAAACTATTATTCTACTATAGTTAAATAGTTTAGTAGTTTACCAAAGTTGTTTTTTTTTTTCCAGAATTACCTTTTCCTCAGATTTTTTATTGTAAATTTATCATATTGTACCTACTTATTGTTTATTTTATAATACGTCTTAAATATTGTATTTATATTTGTTTTTTTTTTTGGATTTTTACTTCTAACCGGTAACTGTAATAATCATTGTACACATAATTAAGTTTAATCCTGCAAATAGTTTTTATTGATTAAGGCAATCCAATACAGAGTTTTATATTATTTTTCAAAATGAGTATGTTATTTGATCAAATAAAATTGTTACACAGCCAAAAATTACACTCCAATGTCATAAAAGTGGTAAATTTTAAATTATCTGTTGTATTATTAATTTTCAACATATTGTTTGGTAACACATTTTACTTAAATTTTAGGCAGAAATGGTTTTAAAAGTTAGTGAACACACAACTGATATCTTAACAGCGCCACACAAATTCCGTGTAATAGCATATCAGGGCGATTCACATTACTCTTTAGGCAATTATCGTCAAGCAGAAGCTGCATATATAACAGCATTGACATTTAAAGAAGCCTGGCTTTCGGCAAACCCTCCACAAACTCCATATGATGGCGCAAAAGATCCTATGCCTGTTTTAGGTTAATATGTTTAACTATAAATTATTATATATACCTATACATAAGTTTGTATTTTGTAGGTATTTAATTTATGAGTGAGTGTATTGTTAATTTAAAAAAATAAAAAAACTGTTTTTCAGATATTAAATATCAACTGCATTTATGTTTGGTAAAATTAAAAGATAATAAACAGGCATTAACTGTCTTACAATCGATACCGTCCAAACAGAGAAAAACTAAAATTAACATGGCTATAGCAAAACTTAATCATCAAATGGGCAATATTGTTCAAGCTGTTACTGCTTATAACAAAGTTTTAAAAGTAAGTATCTGAAATATCTTGTAATAGTTATGTTGTAAGTATTCTATAAACTAGAAGTTACATGATTACCAATTTCTAGTCATTTTAACCCCAGTAGAAAATGTTTCCAAACTTAAGATGTTGGCTATAGGTATTCTGAAAAATGTCCTAAATATAATATGTCTTATTTTGTATTTTATCCACACAGTAGTTGTATGACTAAATTCAAATCAAATTTTAAAATCAATAACTATACTCTATTCAGAATAAGAAAGGCGACCTGTTTTCGCAACAGTACACTGGTCTAATGCTTTTCTCACCAACTCTGGCTTGCATGGTAAAGCCATGTGTTTAAGTTAACCTACTGGTACATTATTTTCTGAATAGAGTATATTATTATATTGTTTTGCTTAGAATCATTAGCTAATATTATATACATAGTTTAATTCAGTTTTAATTTTCAAGGAATGTCCATTGGCAATTGAAGCAGCTGAAGGACTTTTGAGCTTAGGTGTTAAAGGAACAGAAGTGAATGCTATGATGTTAGAAATGGTTGGAATTAATGGACTTGAATGGTTAGTATTTAATAATTAATATTTGGAACTATATCACCTATTGTATGTGTATATATTTTTTAGGATTAGCGGTTGGATAAAAGCCCATGCTTATCTGTTTCAACAGACTGAGTATCCTGCAGCAATCACTACATTAAAACAGTTGGATGATAACTCACCTTTATGCAACAGTAATAGATTATTAGTAGCTATAGGAAGGGCATATTATTTTTATGGAGATCGCAAAAATGCACTTATTTACTTACAAAGAGTTAGTTACAGTGATTACTTGTTTGATTTTGTAAAATATATTTTATTACAGTGTATTTTGTAGGCTTACAGGTTAAATCCACTTATGCAAGATGGCCTTTGTACACTAGCAATGTGTTTATACATGGAAAAACACAATAGAGAGTTAGAAAAATTGCTTCCAACAAGTTATACAGATGAATCATCGATTGATTCCCATATGTGGATAGTTCTTGCTTTTGTGTGTTATAGTAATAGTAATTATTCTAAAGCTCTGTGCTTAGCACAAAAGGTATTTATAATGATTTTTAAATAAATATATCAATTTACCCTACATCAAGAATTATGTGTTTTTATAGGCTTGTTCTGTTGATCCAAAAAATATTGAAGCACTTTTGTTACACGGAATGATATTAACAAGTATGAAAAAGTATTCTGATGCTATTTTACAATTCCGYAAAGCTAATGATGTATGTAATTAAATTTTCTTTTTCTTTTTTTTTTTATTTATATTAAGCCTTGGCGTCAAAGGCCATTGGCGTTAGTTTACAATAGGTTACATAATATATATACAATTATTTACAGGTTATATACAATTTATAAGCTTGGACTTAATTATAAATGTTATCAAATGATTAATATTGTTTGGGTGTAGGGCTTCTGATAAAATGTTGGATACACCTGCTTCCCGTTTGTCCGTTTCGTATATGCGGCATTCGGATTTCTTTTTTTATTTAGAATTAATATGTGTCTATTATTTCTTAGATTGCTCCTTATCTTTTCGATCCGCATAAAGGTATGGTAGATTGTTATATAGCATTGCATAAAATGAGAAATGCTGTAACTGCTGCTAGTAATTGTTGTAAACAAATGAACAACCACCCAAAAGCACTAACAGTAAGTATTAATTTATTTACCTATTAAATATAATTTTATTTAGTTAAAAAATAAAAAATATTTAAATGAACATTAAAAAAAATTTCATTTTCATATCAATTTTCTTTCATATTTTATTTTACTCAGAGGTTGAAAATTTATTCAATTAATATCAATTTCATTATTATTTAACACTCATCAGTTCATGTTTAACTTTATTAGTGTTGAGYGAATCAACCTATTATAAAACTWAAAGATAATTAGATTAGAAAATTATCTGTGTTTGTGTTTTATACAACTGTTCAATTTTTTAGGTATGTTTTACACATATTATATAGCGTATTTATAAAATGCTCATAGCTCATTTAAACTGAATTATTGTAAAACAAACCCAAATACAACACAGATAATGTTCCTACTATCAAGTTGTATCTACAAGGTCTATCCACTCTAATTTTTCAACTAAGTTAAACATTACCTCCTGAGTGTAACTTTGGTATGTTATGCACTTGTAAGGAGACCAATAATGCCGTGTAGTATCCTCTTAAGTAAATATTTATAGAATTCTAGTGATGTGGATTTTCCATAAAAAAAATTTATGGTAATTTAGTAATTTTATCAAACCTATGGTAGAATTGGTAAAGTTTTATTAAAATTCAGTTTTTAGTGTACCTATTGAATTTTTTCACTATACTATGTATAAAGAAGGTTATTATAAGTATCACAATAATTTGTATCATGTATCTGTCATTATCATTTTATAAAAATCCTGATTTGTGTTATAAATTATAACTTATAATCCTAATATCTCGATAAAAAATACAAAAACATTCAAATAAAGTCGTTACTTAACTGTTTGAATGGTAAAAAAAATGTAAATCGTACATTTTTTTTGTAAATATACTTTTTTGTTAAAATTTTATGAGACTCACATCACTATAGAATTATTTGCATTTATAAATTTATCCTAATATATGTCATATAATTCATATTTATTGTTTAGTTATATGCATCAATACTCATGAAAGATCCAATGACAGTTGGCAAAGCAAAAATACTTTTGGAAAGAGCATTGAATGTTGATGAATACTATCTCCCAGCAATATATATGATTGCTCAGATATTTGAACAAGAAGGAAATTTCAGTCCAGCTGTTGCTGTATTGCATAAGCAAGCATTAGATCAACCGACTTGTAGATTATATCAAATGCTAGGTGACTTAAGTGTCAAACAAAATCAATTAGAAAAAGCATTTGACTTCTATTATTCTGCACTCAAGTAATTAATTTGATTTGTATGCGTTTAATTTCAAACATTTGACAATCCTCCTCATAAAACATACATTTTTAGGTCAACATAATTGATAGAGAAATAATTGTTCTTACTATAAAAGAAACTTACATTGAAAAAGAGATGTAATAATGGTATCAGTTATGTTGGCTTTAAGATTTTTATGCAATGTTGCATCCATAAGCTTAATATAAATATTATCATGACAAGATAGGTCAGAGCAGTGGTTCTCAACTGGTGTGACGCGGCACAAGACTGTGCCGAGAGATCGACTAGGTGTGACGTTAGAAGTTTTTGATATTTTTAATTATGCTGGTAAAAATATTGAAAACAGTAATTTATTTCATTACATTTGTGTTGAGTTTGCCGCAAAAACTTGTGATGTATAATGATGTGCCGTGAACCAAAAATGCTTAAGAACCACTGGGTTCGATTTACAACAAAATAACTTGTTTAGTTATGTCAATCTCTTAAATCTTATGTGCCACAAATGGTTTATCGGTTAATGTAGTAATTATTTTCACCTGCTCATGATTTATTAATAAAGTTAGTTATATCATGCCCCAGTCTGCTTTTGTATTTATGCAATGATCAAGTTATTTTATTATTATTATGCTAACATACACAAAATCCTCAATGTATAGATATTAGATACATTGATATTATTTTCTTCAAATATTTATGAAATTAAAAATAATTTTGATGGAAAAATAAGTAACCTAATTTATTTTTATTGGTCAGGAAAATTATTTGCAGTTTGCACCTTATAGAGCGAGCTGCACTTAATTAAACCACAGTATTGCTAGTYGCTCACATATTTTTTACAGTTATTCAATATTCTATTAGTTTTTACATTAAATATTATGTTTTAATAAATTTTAATAATATGACATTCTTTTAAAAAAGTATAACTAATTTTTAATTCTATTAATAATTTAAATAGATATTGAATACTTAATGTATAAATATAAAAACATAGTTAATTAGAATATTTCATCAGATAACAATAGGGTTTCTTTTTATTAATTATTTTCTAAGATTGATGTTATATAAACATATTCACTTTTTAAAATACATATTTTTATTTAGATTTTATTAAATAAAAAACTTATTTTAGAAAATAAAATTCACATAATAATTTTTTATTTGTTTTTTTTTAGTCTCGATCCTAATAATAAACGAGTTATGGAGAGTTTAGAGAGTTTAGGAAAACCGTGTAATACTTCAACAGCTACATCTGCAGATTCGACTGGACCCGTTTTAAATGGGTCACTCCTAGATGCGACATTTAGTGGTGTTAATAATGCTGAAAATGAATCAACGCCATTCAATAATGCTGTACACGAAGAAGATACATTTATGGATTCAGATCATGAAGGGTCTGGATCGGACGCATCCATCTAATTGTTTATGGCAATTTAAGTTATGCAAATTAACTCAGATATTATAACTAAGTTAAGTTATTACTTATTGTCTTAYTGATCTGCCTTGTGATTATGACATGAATAGTGGACTATMTCACCGTTTGGGCATCTAACAAACGCACTGAAACATAAAGATAATGTAWATTTTGTTTTTATTATTTAATTAATTAAAGTACCTTTGATTTCCAAATCGTTTTTTGCATACTCTACAGATATTGAATTCCGTCAAGGTAATATTTTGTGACTCGTAAAATATTCTCTGTTGTTGAATCTAACAGGTAATATTAAATATTAAAATTTCAAGTACATAGTTATTAAATAAAAAAAATAATTTTTACTTTTAAAAGCTTAGCATAAAGTAGTCCACGATTGACTTGATAAAGTCTTCTATCGCCAATTGCTTTGTCCAGAGCAATTACTAGAAAATTACTAATACGATGAATAGGTATTTCATTTGGTAACACTTTTAATACATCTGGAGTAGCGATATCAGCAGCATTTTTATTTAAAATTTCTATWACTTTCTCTAAATTAGGTGCTGGTTTTGATGCACCCCCTAATCCAGCTAACCAACTATCTGGAGGGTCAATAAGCAGTCTCAACAATATTACGTAAATCTATAAATAATTTTTTGAATGTAAAAACAAATAATGTATTATAATTTTTAGTTGTTTCACTAAAATTACTTGATCACAGTTTTCATTTTTTGATTTATAAACTTTATCACAGTACTCAATCGCTCGATTAACATCATTCAACACAGTGACATACATAGACAAGACTTGTTCATGGCGACCTAGTTTACCCAATACTATAGCACGTTCTTCAAAAAATCCTGTTACATTATATTTTATAATAGTTAGAGATCTATAATCGTAAAATACTATCAAAACAATTTTAACATTACCATCTAAAGGAAAATGTACCAATACTGTTTCAGGAGTATAATACTTTGATTGTTCTAAAAATTCCAAAAGTTTTATTTTAGTGTTATGTGCAGTTTGTTCATCAACCTGCATTGACATGGTGTTGTATTTTTGAAGCTTTTCTCTATATTGATGTATTAAAGCATTATGGCATATAGCATTGGTATCATTCCAAATGTGTATTACATGTTCCAGATAAGGTATAATCAGATTTTTGTGATTTCTAATTAAAAAATCCAATATTTTAGGTCTAGGTAAGTTTTCTACTTCAGCAACATCTTCTGTAAATATAGTAAGTCCTTCTTCTGGATATTTATTTAATACCCAATCAGAAAACTGTAGAATGATATCAATATTATTTGAACCTATTATGCAAATATTTGAAAATTATAAAATGTATTTAAAAAACAGCTGATAATATAATAGTTAATAATAACTAATAAACATTTATGGTAGTTAATCAGTAATCACCAATGTTTTGTAGGTATTGAATAGTTCTTTCAGGTCCTTTGAGATTAGAATCTGAGTCATCTGACTGCTTTTGTAGGAGTTCCAATGCTTTACTATGTAATCCTTTGGTTTGATACAAAATTATTAATTCACTGTATTTTTTATACTTTTTTAATGTTGTTTCAGTTTCTAATAAATGACAATGATTAAGTCTTAAAAGAGGCGCTATTAAAGCATCATTAGTCTACAACATAAAAATGTATAAATTATTAGTTTGGTCATTATATTTTKTAGCTATATAACTTACTTGTAAATAACATTTTAGAAGCGTAGTGTCTATTATCTGAAGTAACTGTTCTTGGTGATTACTATTTATTTCAAGAATATCTGATTGATTTTTAACATTGGGTTCTTTTAAAAGTTTGAATCGTACCTAAAAGTTAAGTTTAAGTCTTGAAATATAATTAATTTAATTTWATATTCATGTAATTACTTCGGTTAAGTATTCAATCAATGCGACAATTTTTATTTCCATTTCTTTTTCAAGTATTTCYTCTCCATAATATGAATCACTTTGTGGTAATAAATTTGGAAATAATCTGATAACATCATAAGGATCTGTAGAATTTAAATTAATATTGCACTATGATGAAGTTTAAGATAAGAACTATATGACTTTCATACCAGTATTTAACTTCAAAAACTCTCTCATGGATTCTTGATATTTCTTTTTTTCAAATAAATCATTGGCATATAAGGTTCTAATTTGAGATACATTTTTTTCTTTATCATCAACTGATTCATCAGATATATTCTATATTTCATTATAATATGTTAAAAATATAAATATGAAAATATGATTTATTGACAACAATTTAAATTATTACTTAGTCAAAAAAATATTAACATAGTTTTTATGTGCTGTAATAAAATTACTATATCATGATTCATGACTGACTACCAATATGTTATGAAATTATTTAATTTGAAATATAGTTTATTATTATTAATTAGAAGAAAGAGTATACACAACAACAGTAGTCAAAGGGTTAATAGATATTCATCATTTAAAAAYTAAATATGTCATAACTCATAACTATTAACAGAACTTTTAATACAACATAATATAGAGTCACTTGTGTTGACTAGTATTAGGTATTTATCACAAGTCAAGAAAAATGCACCAAATTTGTAAGGAAATAAATTTCATATAAAATGTATTATTCTATGAAGAACATATTTCAGTAATCTTTATAGTTAATACTTACAGCCAATTTTAACGCAAGTTGAAAATCTTTGTCTTCAAGAAGTCGTTTGATTTGTTTAGCAAATGGAACTGCTTTTAAACAGCAGACATCCAACATAGATGAAACATAAATCAAACCATTTTGACAAGAAAACATATTCATTGTTTTAGAAGCAACTGATATTACTTGACGTGACACTGAACTTTCAATGGATTCTATAGTTTGTACATACAACTTATCATTTATACTTGCGATTAAGTAAGGTTCATCATATACTGAAATAAAATTGTATTAAAAAAATAATATTCATATTCTTAAATATTTAACTTTTACTCACAAATAATAGATGGTGTGTCTACCCATTTAATAAATTGCTGTTCAGCTACATCATTTGTTGTACTCATAACAATAAAATGGGAATCTTTGACAACACCAAACATTGTGTCAGATATTTTAGTTATAATAGGTTCTTGATTTTTTCCAGTTAGGAACAAAGGTTTTACTTGTTCCATAGTAACCTAAAATAAATACAATTAGTAAGGTTCAAATATTTTTACACTACTGAGTTTAACATAATCAGAAAACATCAAGTACCACTTTTTATTTTAAAATTAAATTCTCCAGTGTTGCTCAAACCGGTTATATGACATGTCACTCATATTATTTTTATATAATATACTGAGCCACTAAAGGATCTTATTTTTAAATAATAAATCATATTCACTGATAACAATTGAAAATTTAACTATAATTTATATATGTATAATTAGCGATAAATAAAATGTATACTGAAAGAGATATGATTATTATCTTTTWTATTGCTATTTGTTAAATTAAATTCTTTAGACCTACATAAATAACACATTAACGCCTATAGAATATAAAATATAGTAACTRGCAAGCCAATAATAAATTATATGTTCTAAAATTTAAAAGATTTTTTATTAATTTTTATAGTTTGCCTACTGTCTACTTTGTATCTACTTTAAAATATAAATATATCTATCTAAATTTACTCTTCCATTAATATTAAATGACTGTTCTAATTCTATGAAATAGGTGCTTATAAGAGTTTTTATTTATATTTGAATGATACAATTAAGTTTTTAATAATTATAATACACTTTTAGGAATTTATTAATTTATTAGTTTTGTTAGCTTAACTGATAATGTATAGTTTTAGAATGTTTAAATTTCCAATTACAATCTCGGTGAAGCTTATTGTTATTTTTCTATGATCTTTTTGTATAAAGAAATATAATTAGCTTTCCTAAATAATCAAAAATTATTTTTTCAAGCTACAAAAATATTTATTAATAGTGAAGTAAAATATCAGAAAAGTTATTTCATTTGTATCTTTTCTTTTGAGTTATTCTTACTCAAACTTACTGTAACATATTTTATAGTATATATATGTATATATATATATGCAATTTACGAATTTATGTGAAACTTTTTTGGACAATTTTAGTATATGTATGTTTWAATGTTTAATTATAAAATAATAATACATTTATTAAGCAAGGTCYTATGATTATATGATTTTAACTATCAAATATTTGCATTAATAATTATTTACCAACTGATAATTAATATTTAATTCATATAATTTTATGTAAGATTTTATTTTGAACAAAACTTTATGTATATTAATATTTTACAAAACAGAATTTTTCTTATTTGTACCTTAGTTTAATAACTTASTGTTGAACTGTTAACGACTGATAAAAAATATGTATTAGTACAGTTATTAGTATAAGTAAACTTACATCAAATAAGTAGTATTCATTTTTACAGCCAATAACTACTGTTTGATCACACCATACTAATGTACGAGGTATATCTGGTAAGTCAATATTTTCAGAATGCTCCAAAAAATCTTTTCCTTTCCAATAGTAAACTTGCAATTGTCTCTTAACAGCTACACAGAGGCGAACTACTGTGTTGCTGGGATTACTTTGCAATCCATCAGGAGTCTATAAATATATTTAATTTTTTTTTTGTGTACATATGTCATTTATTWARYTTAAATTATTTACCTTCACATTTACAGTAAAAGAACTAGCACCTTTCGTTTTTTGTAAGCCGGTTGTCTTCAAATGTATTACTTTATCTCGAGATACATCAAGTACACTAACTCTTTCATCTAAAATTTAATTAAAAATTTAAAGTTAAAAAAAGGTTTATAATTCAAAAGTTAAGTACCTGATAAACAAATAACTATTTGACATTCTGATATTGCAGTTAATTGTAAAATAGGTCTTTTGCTAAATGTTTTATTACAGTCAACTAGTTGTACTCTAGGACTGGTAGTATACAAAAATATGTGGCCTAAACGATTACCAACCAGCAAATAATTATCTAAAAACAAAATWATAWWGTTA